ATTAAAAAAAATTTTTTTTGGGAGGGGGGGACAGGCCCCCTTTGTTCGCGGGCCCCTCTTTCCGGGGGGGGGGGGGGGGGGGGGGGGGGGGTGAGTGGGTGAGGCATCTTTCTAAAGTGCTTACCTCTATTTAGTGACTTTATCTGATCGTTTCACGATTCCCTTCCGGACGGAGCAATCACTGTTCTCGTTCGCCAAAGGGAACCTCGCGAACAGCCACGGCACTGGCTTTTTTTCGTTTTATCTCTCTTTCTTCCCTCCCTTTTGGTGCTCAGGGGAGCGGGGGGTGCCACATGGGCGGCGATTTGGGCCAAACTCTTTGTCGCGTTAATACAAGAATTACCCATGAATGCAACACCCATTGCCGTCGAAGACATGGAGTAGGGGTCGAAAGTTATCGAGGGTGCTCGGAGGTACATGCAAGCATCCGCACTCTTTGGAACACTAGGGATACAATCGAGGGTTGACGCCAAGGGCGGAGGGGGGGGGGGGCTGAGGGACTCACCCCAAGGCCTTGTGTCTCCATCGCATACAATGATCACTCCAATTCATGTGTCGCTGGATTCGCACTACTACATTACACTTGCGCCTCGACTATCAAACGATGGATACCGCCAACACCGCACGCCGTCTCCGCAAAGACAAGCCAGAGCAACGCAGACGGACCAGAGGAATCTGTGTGCGTCGCGTCTTGGGAGGACACTCTGCGAGCTGACACCGCCGTGCGATTTCCCAAAAGCTTCCAACGTCCGAAAAAACGAAAAAAAAATCAGTTTGGGACGTGCACTTCAAATGCTGCAGGCTCCTCCTTGGTGAGCCCAGCCCAACGCTGCCCGGAAACTTGGGACTCTAAATAAAAAAACGCGGCGAGATTTTGTGTAGAGACAGATGAAAATAGCACCTCTAACAAAACGCGAAGAGACAGATACAAGGAAGAGTACCTCTAAAAAAACGTGGCGAGATACACAAAACGGGCACAAACGAAACGCACCGGGTCGCGTGTCCATATCCTCGTCCCAGCACCGCCGCATCAGCTCTCGGAGAGCGGCAGACCACTCCTGCTGGAGGGGGGGTCGTCGCCCACCCTTGATGACGCTCTGTACGAACTCCTTTCGGTTCAGGCCCTCGAACGGCCGCCGCAGGCTGAGCATCTCCCACAGGATCAAGCCGAAGCTGTACACGTCGGCCTGTAAAAAGAAGATCAGGGCAGGCATATTATGACGGGGGGGGGGGGGGGGGACTCAGCACAACGTGAACAGCGTGGGAGGGGGGGGGCATAGATGGGCGCGCTACCAACCGCCACCGGGCAGCGAGACGTGTAACGGCGGTGGCGGCAAAGACGGCGATACGAACGCGCCACGGTTCATCCGCGTGATTGCAGACGCTTTTTTTGCCCTCTGACACGAAACCGTAGACTAGGAGGACGAGGAGGGCATCTCCTCTCGAAAATCGAAAGACAAACTCAGCACGGGCACAAGTGCAGGAACCCTTACCACCCCCCGCAGGCCTTTCCTTCGGTGAGTACCCGTTCAAGACAAGAGAGTGGCAGCGCGGAAAACGGCGGCGTCGAAGCCGCATCTTCCGAACAGGTGTTATCGTTTCATTGATGCATCCTCTTAGTTCGACGTGGAGAAAATCGAGCTTATTTGCAAATCGGTCCGGGGGGTGTGGTACCCTACGTCACGTCGCCTACGGTACGTTACAGCGTGAAAAGAGATCGTTACCTTCTCGTTGTACGGCAGCTGCATCGCCACCTCCGGGCACATGTACCTCGTCGACCCTGCAGGCAGAGCCAGAGAACCAGAGAACCAAGGTTTGGGAGGGGGGAGGATACTCATGTAAACGCATGCCGTCATCGTGAGACCATTTACCACACATCACTACAATGCCGGGACGGATAGATATGTGAGTGAGGGGGGGGAGGGAGGGGAATACTCTCATTTTTCGCATGCCTCGGCTGTTAGACCGTTCGCTACGCGTCCTCGAGAGGACGGAGCAGTTGTTCCCATCGCCGAAGGCCAATCGTTCCTTCTTACTTTACCTACTCTACCAAAACTTGGCTAAAAAATGCCTCAAAATTTCCCAGTTTCAAGTCATGCACACTTCTCTCTCCTTTTTTCGGTGGATGATGACTCCAATGACGACGATGTCGATGGGGTTCAGTGACATGACGGCTATGAAAGTGAACCAAAGACGATACCGTTAAAAAAGACATCGCGGTCTGCCTTGGTAAGAGGCAGCCCGCCTGAAATCACACAGCGACGACGCCGGCCAGACTTGACAAGACCGGGCGGGGGTCCACATTACCACATCCGTAGGCACGCTATTCCCAGCAAGAGCAACGGTGACATCTATATCTCCTTGGGCTCGTTCGAGACCGAGGGCTAACCTCTTCGCCGCACCTGTTTCGCCCGTCATCTCGTACCGCTGGGATAGCCTCCCGCCTCTCCGCCGAACGATCTTCGCGAGCCCGAAGTCTGCGCTCCCCCCGGACCGGGAACAATTCAACACCCGAGGCGACCAAGGACCGCAGCAGCATCACAATAGCGGCGCGCAAAGGCGTGAGAGCAAGCAACGGCACGAGGTTGGGGCAAGGGGGCTGTGACCCTACAATCCGAGGGAAGCCAAGCGAGGAAAAGAGACCGGCGCATCCAACGCTCTCACCCGCAGAGGGGTGCGACTGACTTCCATGAAACCGCGGATCCCCAAGGGCGTGACCCCGTATAAACAGTGGGCCGTACCTTCGTCTATTATGTTCTGCTGCGACACCCGACGCCGAGCACCACGCCAAGAAACACTGCCGGCGCATATTTGCGCAGACGAGGGCAGGCAGTAGCAGCACCGCATTGGTCTTAACCGCCCCTGCCGACACCCATGCCAAGAATATGCGGCTCAAGGCGCCGGGGCAGCAGCACCGGAGACGCACAAACGTTCTCCCTCTTATGAGAAGACCCTACAGACCTCGCCTCTTGGGCCCGGACTGAAACGCGCTAGGACAAGAACAGACCACGACATAACGCCACGGACGGACGACAGCAAAAAAAGAACAAATTTCTTCAACCGAACGAAAAAGACTCACCGAAGAGCTTAAGACGCCCCTCGCCAGAAAAGGCGATGTTTTCCGGCTTGAGATCGCGGTGCACCACAAAGCTCCCCTCGATGGCCCTACCGTGGAGGTAACTCAGCGCTGACGCCAGCTGCAGCGCGCTATCTATCGCCTTCTTGGTTGGGAACTGCCAGTTCTGCTGCCAACGCCTGTTTTTATCGGAAACAACAACGTGGTTGTATAGATTACTTGTATGAACCTGATGTCTACAGGTCATCTCACGTCACAATCTACGACAGTCTGAGGTGGCATTAACACTTGGGCACGTTTGGAATTTTTTTTTTTTCGGTTCAGACACCACCATCGCTGCTGGCCGGAGGGGACGGGGTGCTGTTTAAGTTAGCATCGAGAGAGGGACACCGCGCACGCACAAGAGCATACACACGGTTAGGTTGCCGTCAAGCCCACGCACATTGTTAAGGCTTGTTGCGGCGAAAAGACGCAAAACCGCCAAGCAGGCACGACCATTTACTCGTGGCGTGGGGGCGTGCTCCCAAAAGGTTAACGTTCGACAGCCGTGCCACGCCGTTCATTCCTTCGAGGAAGCGGCGACGTCGGGACTAAACACGTCGTAGCCCAAACTTCTCTCGGGGCGGAGACGTGTCCTACGACCGGTCCCCCGGCTGCGACGCTTACGCTGTACACGCGTGTAGTACTCGCGAGAACAAAGTCTCACAACCACATGCAGAATACGAGTTTCAGCCCTATGTAAGGGTGGGGTAGGTCTTCCGTTCAGGCATACATAAGCCGACGAATCGATCAAGCCTTCCAGAGACCAGGCGCTTACCTTACGACCGAGCTCATCATCCCGTCCGCCGGCGGATTCCGCGTCAACATAGACTCCGTCAGCGTGCCCCCCACCAAATACTCCAGCAGCACGAATCTCTTCGACTCCTGCTGGGGGAGCGACACATTCAATGCAGGTTGACATTGGGGGGGCGGGCGTTACCAGGCGAACTTTCTCTCGCAGCTGCAGAAATCCCCCCGTGCTTGTCATACGCACGAACAAAAAACACCAACCCACGAACACTCTCGCGCAAGACAAAAGAATGCGTCACTCGTGCTGCTTTCGACCCACAAAAACGAGGACTTGCCTGCACAAGATCGCAACAAGCACAAGTGATCAATAACATAAAACATCAGACTTGCCTGATCTAAGTCGCGGAACTCCCCCCGCTCCCCCCCGCCTCCATCGGGGCCCACGTCGAGGGGGTTAACGAAACCGGCGCCGAGCATCTCGACGATGTTGGGGTGCTGCAAGCGCTGCAGGATGTCTATCTCCGTCTCGAGGTCTTTCCGGGCGACCTCGGGCTGGGCGCAGTCGTCGCGGGGCATCTGTTATTTTTGGTCCCGTCCGATGGGACCCCAAGCACAAACCCGGCAGGCAGGCATTCGAAACAGCAGAGAGGCGACACGCAGCAGCAGCAGCAGCAGCAGCAGCATGGTGATGTGGGAACATCGGGAGACACTATATGGAGTACCGTTGCAGCTCCATGTGTGTCTTGGAACCAAGAGACCACTCCTAGACTCGGCATGTTCTGAGACGCTGCTGCAAGCATCACGACTACCGGAGTAGTGCTGATGCTGTTGCCGCAGCGGTCGTCTCACCACAACAAGTGACGGGGAAGTTTTTTTTTTCGGTTAGTCGAGGTCCAAACACTACCCAGTTCAAACGCTACGGTTGCCTTTGCCTGTCTGTCCGGCAGTGCCCAGATCGAACCTTGGTTGCGGGATCACAGGTCGCACGTCGATTGAACGTGTCGGCGAAAGGCTCAACCAATAACCAACAACTAAACAAGACTAGAAGGTTTATGTACTAACCTTGACCACGACGCGGCGGCCCCGCCACTCCGCCGTGTAGATGGAACACATGCCTCCGTTCGTGAGGTACTGCACATCTCGGAGCTCCTCGAAGTCGAGGTTAAGATCCACCTTCCAGGCAGAAAGAAACAAATAGAAGAGGCGACTCGAGGTGTGAAATAACCGAGACGTGTAGTCGGGGTGTGTGTGAAGTGGTTGCAACCAGAACCAGAGCGTAGCGTCAACGTTGGCGATGAAAAGAAGCTCCAAAACGGAACACAGGCATCCTGGTACATGTTCCCGCTGTTGAATTTGCTGCTGCTGCTGTGGCCGCCGCCTCTACCCATGCCGTGGTTTGCTTGGGATGCACCTGGAACCAAAAAAAGGGGCTTCGGGCGTTCTGCAAGCCCCTAAACGATCGGCCGCCTATTATAGAACACTAGAAGGGGGATACTCCCTCCGCTTCGCCATGCATAGACGGGCCGAACCAGCGAGGATATCCACTATGCATCCACCGATGTGCGGTGTTCCATGTAGTATATAAGTCTGACGGAGTCGTTTCACCGTCTGCTGCATCGGCATAGAATCGTGACTCCATGATAGCACGCACTACCGCCGTGCAGATGTAAACCAGCAGGCGCTGCCAGTGGTTGGTTTTTCAGTCGACTTGCAGATACACACATGGTGGTTTGGGTATGATTTCGTACCCCCCCCACAGCAGTCCCTGCTATATCCCCCACAGCTGCGGGGTGAGTGACGGATCCTGCTGTCTCAACATTGAAAACCCCTACAAGGTAAGCTGGGTGAGGGATCGGGCTGTCTCGAACGATGGATATCTACACTGTGCCAAAATGCATCGAGTACATAGAACTGCCGCCACAAGGGTCGAGTAGTACTATAATAGCATGTATGCATTGCGCATGAACTTGATACGTACAGCGTATGCGTACATATATCATGCGACGTTCAAAATTTTGTCACGACCTTGTAGACTAAACTAATCGATTAACACATCGAACTCTCCAAACCACATTACCCCAATCACACTATTGTTGTATCACTAACAGGCGGGTGTCTCGCGTTTAGCTCCGTCGTGCATCGTGTAATACGTAGCACTGCTGGCCTGTGGTTAGAATTCGGAACAGATACCTTCGCGTATTCTGGTCGCTGCGTCGTCCGTCAAGGGGGCGAGACAGCACAGGTATGGTGATGTAGGTCAAACGCAACCCGGAAGGTCGGGGATGTTGCAAAAATTGAACCTTGAAACCACAAAATCGAACAGACAACGGATCGCAGCTACATAGCGTTTTCCGACAACAACATTAGGGCAACAAGCAACCGGATCTATGCGACCATGAGGTGTTGAACGCGCCAAATCTTGTCCGCACGCCGGTCAACAACACTCATATGATCATAGTATGCACACAATAGAACACACCTTTTTGCCCTGGCATGGTTCCAGCTTTCCCAGCGGGCTATAATCACAACAGGAAGAAATGATGTGCACAACAATATCGTGTGTGTGTGTTGTTGCTCGAACGTATGCTGATGTAAGGTATGGTGTGAACACTGCAAGTGGAAACATCCCCGTGTGGATAATGGCGGGCCGCGTGGGTGCCCGCACGTGTGCGTAAAGCATGAGTGTTCTTTGCAAGGTTCTCCGTCCACAGCACGCAAGCAAGCCTCCCCTCGGTCTGCGCAGCACCCAGATTTTTATCTTCGTCCGCGGCAAATGTTCCCTTAGCTCACTACTATAGATGGGCCTGATTCTTTCAGCTACTTCTCTCTCAGTAAACACGAGAGCACACCCGACAAAACAGACACGCACCTGCTGCGGTCCGTCACCGACACCTCCAAGATACCGGCCGTCCAGTAGCGGGTTCTCTGTCTCCGCGCGCACGCAACACCTCAGCAGGCTCGCACAGCAGCCCATCGCTTTCGCCGCCAGCAGGCGCGCTGTGGTTCCCACCTCCTTGCTCCTAGCTTCCTTCTCGCTGCGACGGGAACAAATCCCAGCCCCCCACTCCTCGACGAAGCCAAGCGAGCCAACGCTCGGGATCGTTCTAGCAAGAAGATGCGCCTTGTGAGGGGTACCTGAGAGACACACGCTTCCCCTGCGACGCTTCCCCCTGCTAAGGTCCCAAGCAAGGTTCCCAAAAGAGCAAACGCTGGTGTGCGCGCTCGTGGGTTCTTGGGAAGAGAGGGGGCTGGTCAGGATTTTCAGTTCGAATCCACGGAGCCTCCTTGCACCGCCGCTGTATCAATCTCGCCGCACACACCGCAAGACAGGAAGACAGTAAGACAGTAGAGCAGTCAAGTTCAGTGGCATGCGGCATTCGGGACCTCGTGTGCGTAGCTCCGCTGGCCGGCCGCCCCTGGCGCACAACAGAAACCTGTGGCTGGGAAGGGATAGGCGGGATGGAAGGGCGGAGCCGAGAGAGATTGAGCTGGATCCGGTGAGAGTCCACGGCAGCGAGTGCGCGCCGAGCGTGAGAACCAAAAGATATTCACTTTCCTGCTGTATTTTGGATCTCTCTCTCTCTCTCGATCTCACTTATCTCTCTGTCTCTACTCACATCTACCCCCCCGCGCGCGCATGTGTGTTGATGTGTTGATGCGTGCGTTACTAAACTAGATGGACGGCAGCTGCTCGCGAGCAACCGCTAAGATTTTGTCACGCGTTCCGCACGGCGTGTGTTGTATGCGTTGCTGGTTTCGTGCACTAACAACACACATATACATATACGGTCACGGGCTGCTCCCTCCCTAGTCTACGGCTTACTCTTGAGCTTGGCAGATGTGTCAAGGGAGCATGCATCAGAACAGCCGACGATGCGATGGATTCGTGCTCTCCGTGTTGTAGCGGGGGTCACGAAATACATGTACATACATGTAAATAGAGGCCCCCGCCCCACAGCTTCTGTTGTCGTACTTGTCTGCTGTGGATTCGCTATATTTACTGCTGGAATAGAGGCGCACTGCTGCTGTGGAGGCCAGGATATAGACTACTCTTTCCTAAGCTGTACTGAGAACTACCTGGCAGATGTAGATATCCGAGACGAACACCTTGTTGGATATTCGATGGAGTTGGCGGACTGGAGTGCTCTCACCGGAGGTCTCAACATTGGCAGTCTACAGCCATAGACGTCTAGACTTCGCACACATTGGCAACCTCCTCGAGATACTCAACAAGAGGAGGTGCTGTGCGGGTTTGGTTGTAACGCCTCATGGCGGGACTTGCTCTCTGTTTCGGGAACAGGAGGGTAAGGTTCCACCACTGGCTTCTTTTTCGTTGTCCCTTTGCTGATATCACGTTTCATCGTACCGTCCATGTTCCACTGAAAGGAGATTGCAAGGCTTGTAGGAATAATGTGTTTGTGTCGGCATGCAAGCTGGAGGTACGAGCGGTGCAGCGGCGTTCGACGTCACCGCAAAACACTCTAGCTGTCTCAACGTCCTCCGCCGCTTTTGAGAAAACTCGTTATCAGGCTTTTGAGGCAACTCGTTGTCAGTAGTCTTTGTTAGCGAAGGCGGCGACCCTTCCCCATCCGGCAGACCGTGATCGATTGTGCCCATCAGGGCTCGATATCATACTCTTCTGCTTCGTTGTACGAGTTTATCCGAGTCGGGGTCTTCTACAAAGTGCAGCCGTAGTCGCCGTCCCGCGTAACCAATCAGCACCCAACCAGCAGCACGCTGGAGACAAACGTGGTGGGAAATCTGCTCGGTCGCACTTACACCGCGCGTAACGCGCGGGGTCGAAGTGCGAGCGGAGCTCCGCAGCAGCAGCGCTAACCCAGCACACCCTGGGGCGCAAAAGACCACGGTCTTGTTGTTATGGTCGATACGTAGTCAGCTAATTGGGAGGCATGATGCTGCGCTCTGCTCCTGTACTCGCTTCGCCAGACGTAGGCCTACGTCATGTGCATTCCAGATCTGTATACATGATACTTGCCATGGTGTTGTTTGATAGCGCTTTCAATGAACCAGTACCATTGACCGCACTATCGGCTGACAAAAATAGAAGAACGTCAGTGTCAGCGAGAAATAATCATTTTACCTACAAATTAGCGTTGCCCAGAAAAAAATGTGTGAGTGCTGCTACATTTATTCTGGACGTAAGTTTCGAAAATGTCGGCATGTCCTCGGACGAACCGACCGGGGTCTAACACGATGAACACTGTTCTTTGTGAAGGTGTACCGATCAGACAAACTTCAAATGACGAAAAATACCTTGGTAAACGGGTCCTTCCTAACCCTCCCCGCCCACAGAACTTACCCTCTGCAGGGGGGCCCTTTGGGGCCGGGCAGGGTACCACAGATGATTTGTACATAGGATCGGGTCCAGGAGGTGCCCAGGCCTATATTTTCCTCTTCTTGCGTATTATGCCAAAGTCAGGCGAGAGAAAAACTGCGCACACAACCGGGTGTCGATGAACGCAAATTATGAACTTTGTAGTGTACAATTGTCAATTGCGAAAACATTTATAAATGCGTGCGGAAGCTGAGTTCTTCCGTTCACTCTCGTCGTTGTCTCAACCATCGTTGCACGTGGGCGCCTAAGGCGCCTTTTCGTTCCACTCCCACTGAAAATTGAGTTTTCTGGTTGGTCTGCGTCGCATTACACACCCTCACGCACACCATCCCAAAACAACGCCAGGTGATGGCTGAGCTTCGCGGGCTCAAGGCTGATATATACACCCTCAACAGGAGTCTGGATGGCAGCACCATTACTTTCGCCATGGGGAAGGGAGACCTAGAAAGGAGCAAGACTACAGGTGCGGGCATGACAACAGTCTCTGTCGTGTGTGCCCAACGACTCCCACAACAACAGCTGGACTAAAGAACATGACGTCAGGTTGCCATGTTTTGGTGTGTAGATGGAGTTCAATGTTTCCTTGTGGGTAGCTGCGCAGGAGTGTCCGATATCGAAGCTGGTTGGTGCTCAGTATTTTTTCGGTCGAAAATTGTACGAACCCACCACAACGAGCCGCGCTCGAAAAGTCCATCCGACTCCTACATGTGGCACGATGTGGAAAAAAGAAGCCCACCCGGACTTACAACCCTAGTAGTTCCGGAAGAATCAATGTTTCGTGGATAAAATCCCCGCAGTCCTGTGGAGAGAGATGCAAAACATGGATAATCATTCTGTGTTGAAACGGGGGCGATCATGCCATTCAAGCTGATCTGCGTGGCCAATGGTAGAGAGACTGACACAACAAACGCGTGCTCCGCCCTAATCGCTAGAACTTCGCCGCCCGCCGCTGTATGTGCGGCGCCCCACGCATCAGCTTTTTCGTGCATAATCCAGACCGCCTGCCTGAACCGCTACATCCTTCGCTGCTCTTTGCACCTCGCAGCAGAAGCCTCTATTCGGACGGATCTCCAAAGCTTGGGCCTGTCCGCAACGCCCCACCCTTCTTCCCCTTGCGGTAGAACGGGACGAACCGAGGTCCACGACCACCGCCACGCCCGCGCCCAGGGTGGACCCGACCATGACCTAGGTCACTCGAGCGGCGGTGAGAGCGAGTGCAAGTTGGAGATACGTTTCCCGCCGCCCCCTCCATCACAGCAGTCTCACGCGCGTGCGTCCGGCTTTGGAGGTGCTGCCGCGGCCGCGAGTTGCAGCAGCGGCGTTCGGAGGGACTACGGTGGCGGCGTGAGGGATGTCGGGGAGTTGGTGCGGCGGGTGGAGGCCTCGACGAGAGCCGTGTCGCGAGAGAAAGAACACATCGCCAAGGTGCGGTGCCTCGTCCTGCCAAAGCGTGACTGCTGCACTCGGTCACGTTGATACGACCCCTTTCAGTGATTTCGTTGCAACTTCGATCCGGTGGTTCAATGCTTGAGGCGGCGACTTAAAATTCCGCGTGCGATAATGGCCCCGAAAGGAGGGGAAAATACCCACTTGAAATACCCGGCATGCCGCCAGCCCCCCCGCGTGTTTCGTGTCGCAAACTTGATCATCAGGGCGGATTTCTCTATGGTTCGTTTCCTTGCTGTTGACTCCATGCTTCTGTTCTGTGCAGATCCTGCGAATAGAGAAAGAAAAGACTGCCCGATTACAAGAAGCTCTTTGGCAGGAAGGGGGAACGAAGCGCGAGTGGGAGATGCTCACACAGGTGAAAACCCATGTATCCTGCGTTGCCCCCCAATAACCTGGTCGGTAAAAGCACAACCTGCTCCGTTCCGGGCTTGTAGAGATGGAGGGTCGATGATCAGAAGGATGCGGTCATGTGCGAAGTTGGGTGCTTCTCAGCCCCCACGCCAACTGCCCACACCGAGTTTCCAAACATTTTAGTGACTTGCAGGCGCTCTGTAGCTTGCGGTACGCCGTGTCTGCGCCACGGACACGCCCATCACCACCACATTAGCACCACCGCACTCCGACCCTGTGTGCGTCGCTATGCGTATGTCGTGCGTAATGTACGACGCCCCTCACTGTGGAAAGACCCGTACGGTGCCCTTGTGCAGGCCTCTAGCTTGCTCAAACAACGGCTGGAATCGACGGAGCGAATCAGGAATAGGCAAAAGGTACAACAACAAGGCATCGTATCGCAGCACACATGAAAAATGTCGCGTGTTTCTTGGTGTTCTTCGCTTCTCTTCTCTCTACCCTCGCGCCTCCGCTATGCTATTGATCTCGCAGAGAGAAGGATTGCCACTTCCACGAGTTCGACGAGTTCAAGGCTTTCTTGACGACACAAGCCGAAAGAATTACGCTTCCCACAGAACAGAAGACTAGCCATGTTAGGAAGCACGTCGTTTGTTCTTGACCTTCGACAGCAGCCTAAACTGCCGGTGCCGTGTGTTTCTTGGTTGTTTTCCCAGGAGCTTATCAGAGAGTTGCAAGCTGTGGAGGCCGACATAGCATTTGCCAACGCTGGGAACATGGCGGGAATGGTTTCGACGGACCCCTTACCCAACCTGTCGCCACCATTACCACCACCACCACCACGACCACCACCGGCGCTGCCGCCCACCGCACGACGAAGGAAAGCTTCGTCCTCATCTCTGCTGGCACATCACCGAGGCAACGACACAGAACGCCACCATGCCGTCGACGAGAGATACGGTAGGCGGTCGAGAGGGGGCGCGTCGGATAGGGCTAGGACCCCCCTGGGAGGGAAGCACGGAGAGCAGCGGCGGTCGCCACCTACAGGGACTAAGTCGGCCAAAAGTAATGACTTCCCCGCTGGCTGTGCTGCTGCGGTGGAATTGGAGGACGACGGCGGCGGCGGCGGCGGCGGGACTAGGCTGGGACGAGCAGCGGCGTCGGCATCAGTCAGGACAGTTGGTAGGGCCGCCACCGTACGACCGGAGCGGCCCCGGCGGAGCGGCGGCCCGGCCGACGGTGCCACGAAGAGCGGCATCAGCGCCACGGGGGCAAGGAAGTCGAGCGAGGGAGCGGTGGCAAGCAAGGCCAGGAGAACACAAACGGGACGTACCAGTAGCAGCATCATAGACTCTTCCTCGGCAGACACAAAGGCGAGGAGGGCGGAGGTCGACCGTAAATCGAAATCGGCAACAACGACGACGGCCCAGTCGCGGCATAGGGCCGCCACCTCTTCAACCCCAGCGGCGGCACCGTCTCGAAACCGTGTGCTTCGTCGACAGGCATCAACGAAGACAAAGGTTCCGTCAGGAGCGACGTTTGGGGCGCCGACGGCAGCGAGTGCTGGCAAGATCCGAACAACACCACGAAGGCCGGTGGTATCGCCGGGGGGCCACGTCCGTGCCACCAAGCGAGCTGGCGACGGTTGTATCCCGCGTCCGCTTGTCGCCCAGACCAACAAAAAAGCGTCCAGGGGCGGCGGCGGGCAGCTTCTTCTCGAGGCGACGACAACCGCACTCGCTGATGAACGGCACTGACTGCGGCAAACCGTTCGTGCTCCTCCGTCGTGGGACCGATGAGACCGGAGATCGATCGCCTGTTGCAACTGCTTTATTAAACTATACTCGTAAAATGAGAAGAGCACCGTGGGCAGAACGGGTCCCCGGGCGGCCCGTCAGGTACACAGGGGATATGGCAGCAGCGTGCTGCGTTCGCAATCGGCCGTAGCACCAGGGAACGGGAGCAAACACAGCAACAAGACTTGCGTTGCCTGGGAAGTACGTGGCATTTCGCTTGTGCGGTAAAAGAGGTTAATGTTTTGGTTCTTGCAGGCGTGCCACTACAATGATAGCATAGATCTACGTTGATCGAAGAAAGAGTAATAACAATCGCGGTTCCAGGCTCGCACAAGGCGAAATACAGCGTACAGCAACACGTACTCAGGTGGGGCACACGACACACCACGGGTTAACCCCCCCCTACCCTCTCTCTTGCCCCCAAACACTCTTGCACAAGAGCAAATCCTGACCGCCACCCCTAGAGCGGAAACACGGGAGCAGGCGACACAACATAGTGGTGCTAGAATACCACCTTACAGCATCGACGAGCCTTGCCACCCCTAAATAGAAAACAAAACTGACCTATCCTACAGACTTACCAACAGTGAGCGAACGGCAAGCCTTGTCTGACAAAAAAAAAGAGCGCTTGGCTCCGCTACCTACCTACGTCTCCGTGCGCACACCACGTGAAAATTTCTACGCGCGTTGATGTACTTGCAGCTTTTGCAAAGTGAAGCCAGGAGGGATAACAGCGCACCAATCCTTGACAGCGATCAAGACAAAGAGAGCTACGAGCGCAACCCTGTACATCCACTTAATCAAGTGCTTAGCCAAACGCATCATGAGGAAGATTCAGCACGTCTTCGGCTCCACGTCTGACAGCTACGCCGTAAATGGTGGCATCATGGGGTAAAAACATGAACATTAATAACAATCTGCCTGCCAGTACGAACAAAAATTTCCCGCTCCAATCCCGCTAGAGGAAAGAAAACATACCCAGATGCTGGCGGTTTCTCTGACCGCGGGCGCCTCAAATCGAGGTCACACGACGCTCTGTCCGCCCCGGTGCGGGAGGCCATAGTGAGAACGCTATCCCAGGGACCACACCCGCCCGCGGGTCACGCGGCGGACGGCGCGCCAAAGCACGCCTACACACGGCAGGAGTATGACACACCACACGCGAAGCCGGCAGACAAGAAATGGAGTCCCCCCGGCCACTGCTGTGTAGACCGCCCTCGGCGAGATTCGCGGCATTCTGCAAACCCACACAACGACCTCTTCCTCATGTCGCCCACCGAACGCCTTTTCCCACCGCCACAGCAGTAGGCCGTGAAATATTTCGCCCCTTCTGTCCCGGAAAGGAAAAGTAGAGCAACCTGCCCGTGCCGAAGCTTACTTTATTCGGCATCATCTCGCCGTTCGGCTCACACGCCGATCGGGGGCTGGCCGGATGCTTCCGGTACCGGGTCATCCTCGTACTTGGTGGTGTCGTCCATGATGATGTCCTCGCGGAACACCGCCAACATGCCTGGGCAAAGGAAGAGTGGAGGGAGGGTCATGGGGAGTATTACAACTCGGCTTGTATCGCCAGTCGAGCCGCATCACCTTTAAGCTGTTTCTTCAACGATGGTTGGGCTGCAATCTTGGAGAGTTGCTGGCACAGCACACGCTTCCGATACCCGGTCCACTAGCGAATGGAGCAAGGAGAGCAAGCCATTTAATGTAACCTTGACACTCATCATCTCGGCGAGAACACAAAATACTACTAAGTTGCCAAACAGAGCGCCTTCACCCCTCTCATAGCTCTTCCGTCCAAATTTCTCATGCCAGGATCAAGTCGCCCCCACCCAGCCCGTCGCTCTTCTCAATCCCAAAGTGTTTGGGCCCCTTCGTACCCCCCCCCCCCCCCCCCTCCCGAGTAGACACAACAAGCACTCCCCTTCTCACTCACCAGCGAAGGTCGAGTAGACGATCCAGAGGAAGAAGCAGAAGGCGGCGAACGCGCGGTCGGCGGGCTTCTCGTCTACGTCCTCGGCGGTGGAGGCGCGGCCGGCGAACACCGCGAAGAGAACGAGCATGGTCTGTGACATGATGATCACCACGCCCAGGAAGAAGCCCACGGCGAGGGATGTTCGGTACTTGCGCATGACGAGAGAGCCTCCGACGGAAAGACCGATCAGGAGAAGCACCTTTTTGTCGCGACCGGGGGGGGTAGGGGACGGGCGTGGCGGGCGGCACGGGGGGGGGGGGTAGGGTTTTAGCTGTCCGGTGTAGGAGTTTACATGCAGTTTGTTATAGGTCGAAAGTCATGTCCATGTGCCTTACTAGGCAGCAGTGAGGGATCCGAACACAAAGAGTAGCAGGGCCCGGACAACCCGTTCTATTAGGCATGCGCATACGGGTGGTTGGAATTGGCGAGGGTCGACCAACTGAGACAAGAACGTACATGGAGAAATTGCGGCGATGGGTTCGTTTTAATGGTGCGTTACAAGTCGCAGTTTGTCGTCCGCAGTTGTCTTACCAACGTCGATAATGAGGGTGGGGATGCACAGATTGTACAGTGAACAGTAGGAACACAAATCACCACGTTGCAAAGCCAAGCCAAGCATCCGGAATGAAAAGTCAGCAAGCATGGAGTCACGCGCAGCTGAAACACGCCGGGCGGAGAGTGCATCGGGTGTAGATGATGTAGCGCAGGTGGAACAACAACCATCCAATCTGAACCCAAGGGGTAGACAGACCAACAGCCCTCTGCACTCCTCCAGTTGCTGTATCTCGTCAGGCCGGGCATCGCGAACCTGAATACATTGTGCAGCTGGTTAGCTGGGTCGATGACAATACAACCAAGAAAGAGACAGAAGCAGCGACTCCGTCAATACCTCGGCAGAGAATTCAATGAACAGCCGGTTGTGGTTTACCTACGCTCCAAGAGACCACAGGCTCAACAACACAACACAGCTTTTTTCTGAGGGTGGCCCTTGTCGAAAACAGGTTCCATCGAAAATCGAAGTTGAAATTGGATTTCGATTATTGATTTCGGATTGGCTCTACACAGCAGTGCAGGCGGGGAATCGAAATCGAAAATCAACCCCGGAAGAGGCGAGCAAGGCCCGTACATGCCAGTTGCGATGATTCAAAACCATGACCATGAGAGCCACACCGCATCCAAGACAACGGACGATAGATAGCTCAGAACAACGGCCATGATCAGGCGGGTTGGGGGGCCTTTGTCCCGCATCGATACGCTACGAACTCAACGAGCAGTGTGTGATTAAATCCTGCGTCCTCATGTAGGAAAGCCGAAACAGCTGCCTTTGAACGGCGTCGACAAAGAAATAATTTCACGGCGATGATTCTCTCTCTCTCTCTCTCTCTCTCTCTCTAATTTAGAGCAGATGTCGCTCAAAGAAAGTATACCGTGCTCTGATGGATGTTAGCTTTCTGCCAAGCTACTGCTTGCATTGCCAAGCAATCAATTTGTAGGTGGCCAGACGAGCATCGAAATGAAGGCATGTACGATTCTTTCAGGGTGTGGCAAGCCAGCTTGATGTTCCGGTTGGCAGTTTCGATTTTCATTTCGCGTCTGTTCGTGCTCTTTTGATTTTTCCATATCGGAGAATATTCGGAACACTCGCCGCCAGATTGAAAATCCGGCAAATCCGGCGGCGAAACACTGGAGCTTTGTCCAATCAGTGACATTTTTTTATTTTCGATTTTCGATTTTCGATTTTCGACGGAAAACTTGTCTGACAAGGGCCACCCTGCCCAGACGATGGATCGATTTCCGGCAAGTACTTTGGCATGGACGTGAGGCAGCACGATTGGCTCGAAACAAGGCGGGCAGGTGCGTGGCCGATGCATGCGTATCCGTGGTTGCAGATTCTGTGAGGCTACACCTTCTGATGTCGACAATACGCTAATAAGTGCATGCCAAACGGCACCGATGAAAAATAGCGGCTGATGACACCTGCACCGCGTCAGTTGGACCGGTACGGATTATTTGAAGGAACAGCAGCACTGCTGTGTGAGCGTAGACCGGAACGGTTTTTAATTTGTGGAGACACCAACAACAACGATAACTACCACAGCTTCACTGAACAACAGTCTCCGAACAACAGTCTCCGACGAAACCCCGAGTGCCCCCATGTCGCACCCCGATCCCCCCACGCCTCATTTCCGGCCCGCGCGGCTCTCTCACCGTCCACACGGCCGCGAAACCCAGAGACGCGCTCCCATCCCCGTCGCTGTGCGCCGCCGACGCGCAGGCGCAGATGAAGGCGACCATCACCATGACGATCGATGTGAACCACGCGTAGGCGATCGCCTTTTGCGGGTTCTTGTCGCAGGGCGCGCACAACGCATTCCTGATGCTCATGGTTGTTCCCCGTGGATGCCTGGTGCACCAATTGGGTTGTGGAGGGCAGGGATGGAAGTGGGTGCTCTGCTGGAGCAAAATATGGTACTGCCATGTCTACCCTATATGTACCTGCGCTCTTCTGCTGCCGTTTGCGTAGCAGCTTGCGAGTTGCGTCTGACTGACCGATGACTTTGGAGAGCAGCGGTAGGGGGTCCAGGGCGTGGCTGACAGTTTCATGCTTCAAAAGGCAGCGGCCAACCTCTGAAGTGTAGCATGTACTGCTAACGGCAATCGCAGTTGTTAGCACCATAGATCCAACTAGGGATCCTCTGATAGTTTGCTTTGTATGGATATGGATACCACATCTTCTTGGCATTTGATGTGGAGGAAGAGGTGTGGAAGAAAAAAAACGCTGTTGTAGCATATGGATACAGAGTTTAGCACACAAAAACGGTCGTTCCAACGATTTTAACAGCAAACTTCCCAATGACCGTTTCAAGGAATGTCTCAAACGACGGAGAACAACACCGACACTAGCCAGACTCGCGTCGCCGACCACACACCGGCCCCACCCCCAAACCCCCGCGGCGGAACAAAAACATGGAATTATTAAATCGCGCGCTCCCTGTCACACACTGGACGCAGCTTGTACGTAGAACATCTCTCGAGTGTTTTGCGAGGTCTCGAATTTGGGAATGAGTTCCGCTCGCGCGTTGCATCGATGGCGTAGCGGAGGCATACAGACCCGACAAGAGAGATAGAGAGAGGCTGCCTAATCGCACCAAATGCCTCGACTTGCATACACACCCGTCGCCCGTCTGCTGGGCAGATAAGAAGGTTCGAATAATCGTTGAGCGAGGGACGAGTATGGAGCAGTTACGATACCTCCTCGTCACCCCGACCCGCCAAAAAATGCATCGCCGCCAAGGCACTAAGGAACACACACGGGATTCCAAAGAGATGGCGCCATTGGGAATCAACAGAGGAGGTTGCGCATTGGCAACAGCACTACCGAGATTGCAACCATGCTAGTCCACGGTCTGGGCTCTACAAAAGCACAGAACCCAGCCACAAAAGCGGGGCGTGTACGAGCAGGAGAGCCTACTTTTTGTCGAAAAACCAAAAAAAGAGCAACAGAAGGGAGGGGTGCAACCGCCGTGTTCACGGAGCGCAGGGCCAACAATCAACTATAATTCCGCTGTCCATACCTATTGCAAGAAGATCGTGGTCGCTGGGGAGCGTTGCAACAGGACGCTGGGTCGGCAGGAAAGCAGAGCGATCAGCGGCGGCAGGTGCTCCTTGCGGAACGCGGGGGGGGCACACAGTTTGGTTCTCCCTTCGTGATGTAGGGGGGGTGAACTTCAGCACGCCTCGGTGAAACCCTTCAAAGAAACAGGGAAACGGCTGAACCTTTTTTTTTCGAACATGGGACATCAGCACATCAACACCCGTTGTCAAAGAAGCTCCGAGACAAACTCAAGGAGATGTGTTGAAGCGTGTTGAAGTTCTCTTTCCTCCGCTCCTCAGGGACAAGCGTGCGGGTGTCTGGGGGGACAAAGCGAAAAACCTTTACTACACCTACTACATCTCTTCAGGGTGCGTGTGTTCCGCTCTCAGTGGTCGAATTTCCTCCAACCGGTTCATCTTCAACGAGAGTATCCAGCAGGGACGTCCGGGTAACGAGCGGACACAGCACAGCAGGGATGGCACCCAGGAACGACAGAAAGAACCCACTGATGCACCTCGTGGCTGGTGGTGTGGCCGGGGTGGTGGAATCATCCTGTTGCCATCCGCTTGATACCGTCAAAACCAGGATGCAGCTGCGAATAAAAGGCGGCAGCACCAAAGGGCCTCTCCGCACTGCTTCGAGCATCATCACGAAGGAAGGCTTTCTCGCTCTTTACAAAGGACTAAGTGCCGTAATGATGGGCATCGTCCCGAAGATGGCTGTCCGCTTCACTTCCTTCGAGACCTACAAGGAGTGGCTTGGCGCTTCTCCTACCGGAAACAAAGGTGGGTAGTCTACTTATGGTTGATGTTGCTCTTGATGCTGAGGTGACGAGGTGCACTATTGAATTACTACGGGCACGCGTTCGTACACAGCAGTACCGTACCGCCACCGCGCCCCCGTTTCGGCGGGCAGACGGCTGGCCCACGCTCCAGACGTCCTAGACAAGCCAAGACTACTGTAGTTGAGGTTATAGCTGGCTTGCGATATCAAGGGAGAGGAGGGCCTTTTGTCAAACTACAGACAGACACACGAGTGTCACCAATCCACACACGGTCTACTCGCACGTATCTGCTGCAGTATGAGGCGCACCGCAGAGATTTTTCCCGGAACTAACTGCAGTGCAACAGCCCGCAAAAGCGGTGGTGGTGCTGCTGTGTCTACCGCGTTTAATACGCACTCTGCTTTCTTGCTCACCGATTGTGGAACACGCCGAGACGCGCCGCCGTTGTCCTCTCAATCGTTCTTCTTCTTACGGACTTTTCTTGCGCATCCACACCAGTAGTACATGTTTATCTCTTGTAGACAAATGTAGAGTCAGGTGCAAATTACTAAAGTTCAACAATCTACACAACAGCAGTTGCCAAGCTTTGAACATCATTCAACAAAGAAGCGAATGGCACATGCTTGGGAGTATGCATGTACGAGTACGCATGCTTAGCCACCGTACCCACATAGGTGGCCAGGGCAGGTTATATCTGGTGCACAACCTCGCCACAACCTCCCTAGGGTCAGGTTGTACGCCGACGTGTGCAGCTAGCCTCGAGTCACGAATTGCGACGTTGGTCCAATCGATAGGGCGGGCTGGCAGTGTAGACTACATGTTTTCCAATGTCGATCCCCAACGTCCTAACCTGACCCCGGGGAGGAACGTCCCAACCTGACCCCGGGGAGGTTGGGCACCAGTTACAACCTCCCTTTTGGCCACCCGTGCAGCCCATACTCGCTTCAAGACAACTAAGCAATCCCAAAAAAATAGGGAGACCAAACAGAATGATGCAGCGAGATCAAATGACACAACCAAAAAAAGAACGACACACCCCTTTTCGACGTGGCGGTGTGAGAGAGCGATCTAGATTTCGGACGGTTAGAGTACCTCTTTCATGAAAACTTGGCGAGCGACGGGCTCCCGTCTTAGTACTAGAGGTTCGAAGAGTTATTTATATAGGACAGAGCATGCAATCTTCGGCGACGTGCTTGGATGTTGATTCTGTACTTTGAAACCCGACTACACCTTGGGTTCTGTGTGGAGTTCTGGTTCGCGGAAACACACGACGAAGAAGGCGCCATGTTAGCTCCTTTTCCTCCGATCTTTCTCTTGTGAAGAATATTGGGCTGTGTTAATCGGCTGCCGAGTCTGTCGGGTGGGTCCTGCTATCCATCGGGTTTTCGTGTACTTTTTGAGATTCCCCGCGCTTTGCATCCCGCTCTCATTGAATTTGTTTCGGGTGTTTTTTCCCCGATTGTTGTGGTTCTTCCTGCTGGGCCTCTCTGTTTGCCTTTTGAAGAACACGGAAGAGAAGGTCGTAACGGAAATAGGGCAGAATGGGCTCTAGTAGTGAACAAATCAATAACAGCAGCATCTGCAGCAAAAACACCAGCAACATCAAACAAGATACCGGTCCGACAATCGTTCGCGTAGGTACCACGCCAGGGACCGTGTTGACTGCGGCAACAAACCATGAGTAGAAAAGCGTCAACCTTGCACAGCATTGTTTTTTTGTCTTCACTTCAAGTTAGTGCTCATAGTACTTGTGCTGTTTACTGCAACCCGTGGTCACACAGAAGGGTTCATCTCCCTGAGGCCCCCTACCCAACCCTCGTGCGGTATCTACTTTGCCTTCGATTTAGAATAGTGCAGCACTCTCTTCCCTCTGTGTGCATACGAACTACAGTGGCGCTTTAAACCCCAGGCCAGGAACCGAAGCGAGAGAAAAACTCACTTTGCAAGAAAGGCTCGCTTACGCCAGGATCCGAACCCCTGACCCTGGCCACTAGAAGGTTTTCGAGGAAACCAACTGGACTACCGGGGCGACCGGTGACCGGCATACTAACAAGAATAAGTCGCTATTCTGCGCGAGAGATAGGTGCTAGTCGTGCGGCAAGTGCAATGTGCCAACAAGAAAATGTAAACGCTATCGGTTCGAACCTTTCTCGCGCTTGTTTCGCTTTCACTGCGCATACGTGGATGAAGCCGGTTGGGGCGTCAAACCATATTCTTGGGACAATTTTTGGCGTTGGGTTATCGAAGGAGAGTCAGTACACCTTGAATCACACAAGCGTACGTACGCCCCGCACGCGCCATGCGTCGTTCGCTAAAAGGGAGCTACGCCTGCCGACCGCAAAGGACCTTCCTTCTCACAACATGCCAGCGTGGCGGTTTCAACCAATGTCTTCCTGATGCTGACCCAAAAGCAGCTTCCCCGTTCTAGCGAACAACATCTCACTGAAGACCCATCACTGACCGCCACAACCCCCAACGCACGTTGGCAGATTGCGACAAACATTGAGCACGATGGAAAAGTCATAATAATTTCTTCAGAAGGGGCTCGTCTCTCCATTGCACCTGCATGATTTGATTCCGGTTTTGAAGATACTCAAGTGGTGGTGTTAAACACTTCAACATGACTTGGCGCTCATCGAGAGTGTGAGCAGCTTGCATATCGCCTCCTCTACACAACCTCCCTCTCAAAAATTTCTTCCCTTCCACGGTTGCTTCTCAGGATTGGTGTTTCTGGCAGGTCTTGGGTCGGGCGTTACGGAGGCCATCGTGGTGGTAACGCCTGCCGAAGTATGTAAGATCCGCATGCAGGCGCAGTTCCACTCGCTGCTGGACCCGGAGGAGATGGCGCGGCGCAAGTACAGGAACGTGCTGCAGACAGCGGTGGTGGTGGCTAGGGAGGAGGGCGTGGGGGCGCTGTACAAGGGGCTGGCGCCGACGGTTCTTAGGCAGGGGTGCAACCAGGTGAAGTCCTTGAGCAACCTGTCTCTCGCAGTAAGTTACGCTTGAGGAAGGTGGTTGAGTTGGTCCGTGTATGACCCGTGCTCTTTGGGGACTGACTCCCGAGGAAGATAGCCCACCTTGAAATATCCCTGAAGTGGACAACATCGAGTTAAGAATTGAAATGTAGGCTCTGCTCTGGCTCTCCACTGCTCTGGGGGAGCAAATCTTGCAGGAGGATGTTGTTGTATGACGCCACACTTGTTGCAGTAGAACACGCAGCAGGTACCCACCAGCAACAGGTTTGAGTACCCTCGTAGGGGTACTAAAGTGTACCCTCGTAGGGGTACTAAAGTGTACCCTCGGAGGGGTACTAAAGTGTCACTAGAAGTTCATTGACACCGGGGGGTCGTGTTAGAAAGGGGTGTGCACATTGACGAGGCCCTTCATGCCCCTGTGTCCGGCGCTTCTGAGAGCCCCGAAAGAATGTCGAGCTGGGCTGTTGTGGGTAAGGGAGGTGATTTGTCATTAGGGGGCAGGGGGCCGACATCCACCGCATTTCGTTGGCTTCCTAGACTGTGACCACCTGCGATAACGTCTTTTGCCATTCTCGTCGTCCTCTTACGCCTGTGATATCCCCCTACGTCTCTCCGCCGCCGCCGCCTACAAACTTGGTGTGACGGACGGCATGCCTCCATACCAGGCCGTCAACTTCACCTGTTACCAGATGTTTAAGACGCAGCTATCTTTGTACACTGGCAGCGAGGAGCTGGCGTCGTGGCAGCACATGCTCCTGGGGGGACTGAGCGGCGGCATCGGGCCGTGCGTTAACAATCCCCTCGATGTCGTAAAAACTCGCTTGCAGAAGCAGGTACGCATTGCCATGGTTTCAACGATTCAGCGGTATTTTCGAGTTGGTATTGTCCCCCGAACAACCAACGTCGCCACCCGGAACGTCCTCGGAACCTGGAGCGTGTGTTGTGGAAGGAAATGGGAAAGATATACCGTCCTGGCGCTGTGGTTTCGTTGTGTGTGTCTCGCCCTAAATTGTCTCGTTCTTGATGTTGGTACGAAATCAACAGAGCCGTCGCTTTTGTGTGGCACCACGAACTGCATCGAATGGCTCCTTGCAGAGGTCAGCAAAAAACACCCCTGCTTCCACCCCCGCCGTCGAAAAAACGCCTGCTGTCATGAATCTCTTCGAAGGTGGTGATCCCCGGGCAGGCGCCCAAGTACGGCGGTTTCGTGTCGGCGATCTCGCTCATCGCCAAGGAGGAAGGGGTGAAGGCTCTGTGGAAGGGCCTCACGCCCCGGCTCATGCGGATCATGCCCGGGCAGGCCATCACCTTCATGACCTACGAATGGGTTTCCAAGCGGCTTCCGGCTTCGTTCACGGCTAGCAAGTAACCAAATCCGCGTCCCCTATTCCCTCGCCAGTAATGGTGGCGACTAAGTAGTCACATTTTTCGCTTTCTGTTTGTGCTTTTTGAGTGGTGTGCATTGCGTGCGAGAAACGCAGGGGGGGAGCGCGTCATTCCCTGCGAATATGTAGCGAACCTGAAATGCAAGAGCATGGAGGTACCCTGATCGCAAGAGAGCCCGGCGGGGGTAAGGAATCGAAGCCACCTTTGCAGGAGGTGACGCACTCATACGGACTGTAATCTATCCTATTGTGTTTGTGCCTGTGGAACTTGTGTTGTGTAGTGAATGTCATCGATATTCGCCCCGAAACGTGAGAAGCGTGTCTAGTTCACGTCTCGTTTGGAGGGTCGGGTTTGTCGAGAAAGCTGCAGTGAGCATATGCATACCAATTTTGCCTAGTGTTGTTGTTCCGGGGGTCGTATTAAAGAATAACGCTGACAACTGTGGTAGCAGAAAGGGTGCAGAGTGCAGCCGATATCAGGTACAAGGTTGGTACATCCTGCGTTCTTTCGTTTTTGGGTCGTCCCAGGGTTCCTGCAAGCTGATGACAGCTACTGGGTAGCCGACGGAATAGTGAACATAGGGTATACGGCCTGTATAGAACAATATGCTGATGTTCTCGGTACCTCTCGCTGCACCTCCAGCTGCGAAATGTGCGAGCACCGGTTCACCAGGAGGCTTTGTAGGCCATGAAGCCTCGCCCTAATTGCGGTTGTGGAGCCATTGTCAACACTGGTATCGTCGAGGTAGTCGTACGTTAACCCCCGTATGTACCGCCGTCTAGCAACACTGCTGCACACCGGGGCTTGTGGACAAGTGTGTGATATTGAACCGAAGCCGTGATTGCACCAGACCATCGTTCGATAGTGTTGTGTATTATCATTGCACCCAATTACTGCTTGTCGTACCATGTCCAAGTATGGGGTACGTTCTTGCTTTGAATGAAAAGAGGGAAAAGGGACGGGGCCTCGGCGGGGGGGCAAAGCCTGAGCCCTGTTCCCGTGCGCGGTGGACGTACTGGCTTTCGGTGGCGATTTGGCAATTTTTGTGTAGACAGTTTGTGCTTTGCTGCTTCGGCACACCCATCAGCTGCACACCTTCTGTTTCTTGCGCGTGTGCAATATATTGTTGTAGCCTATGGTTCGTGAGATACATCTTTGTTGACATTATTGTTGGACTTGTTACCGATCCGTGGTGCGTCCAAAAGACGGAAAATATTGTTTCTGCTCATCGTGTGGAGCTTGGTGTTGTCAAAGTAGTTGGTGTTGCTGTGGACATGGGGGCATACATGCATGAAACGTTAAACAGGCGTGCAGATTCACGGGGATGGTTTACAGACGAGTAGACCTTGCTCCCGATGTCAGTTTGTCGTTTGGGGACATTAGAGCGTGCGGTACAGCGTGCTGGAATTGAGGGGAAAACGGAGTTTTGTTACGACGAGAGAACATTGGGTTAACGAGTTTGGAAAATGGACTTTTGAGATTGCTGCCTTAACATACATATTTCATGCTTGTTCTTCAGGTTTATGCATAGGATCACGCCGGTGCGGGCTGGAACCCAAACATGACCAGTAGTAGAGCAAGACGGTGACGATTGCTAAGTCTTAATTAACGAGCGGGCGGTGGACGCTTTCTATCACGAACAGGCCCCGGAGACCTTGCGTGTATGCGCGACTTGTTGTTCTCCTTCCTGCCAATCGTTGTTGTCGTGTGATTTAACGCACGCGAGAATTGAGGTCGAGCTGGGTACACCAACGAAGCGTTGCACCGTGGGCTATCGATCTCTTGTAGTTGCCAAGATACCGTACGCAGCGAGCACACCCTCAGACTGCTGAAAATTGTCGCTTGTCCAAATCAACAGCGAAAGGCTTGGTTTATCGTGAGACACGTTTTTTGCGACAAGGCCGGAATTGCTTTGAAATGCTTGGATTCGAGCAGAGGGCCGCTACATAGCCCGTCTAGGGTTGTGTCCAACATCAAGTGGTACAAAACAACAAGGGTGGCAGACACGACGCCATGGCATCACTGTGTGCGCGTACGGAAGTTGCGCCCCGACCACAACGATCGAGACGAATTCCTGGACATATCCTCCGATCAACGACGTCACGTGTAGGTGCTGAGGCGCTGGTTAGTGCGTGCAGCTGCAGCCCCCCCCTGCAATACTGCATGAACCATTGCCCAACAACGCAATCGCGATACGACAGTGCGTTGTCAGGGAGATGGGGTACTCGTGCAGACACTTCAGCAGTGGCAGCTCCAACTGCAGCGTTTCCCTCCAAATCTGGAGGTTGCAGTTCTGAAAGGGAAAATCCTGAACCCTGCATACAACATGGCTCACACCATCTGGCCATGATTTTTCTAATATACAGTCGATTCGGTCGTTGTCGTTCGCAGTAACCAACAGTTTTACACCGGGGTGGACGTTTTCTAGCAGTGGACATGATCCGTAGTCAATCCGTAGCGTCCTCCGAGAGTCTTGATAGGCGCCCGAGAACGTCTCGCAGGTGCGGAAACTTCTCCGCCATTGATTCGATGACGTCCCGCACCGCTCCCAGCCGAATCTCCGACGTAAGTAGCGCCTGCTCCACCTGCGACGAATAACCGTGGACACATTTCGCAGCAAAGCTTGGAGTTAGCAGTAGACAGCAGGGTTCTTGTCGCGGGGGGATGCCGAAGCGGCGCTGCGCTTCAGAAGGCAGAGGCAACTGGCGATAACTGGCGATAACTGGCGATGAGGGATGTCGAAACGGTTCGTGGCTTTGTCTCTGCCCGTCCTCATCACTTGTGAGGCATGACTTGGACGCTTGTTGTATTCATTGTTGTTGCTTTCTCTTGTCCTACTGACGCCGGCGCTTGTCATGGTCACGGGCGAAATACTCGAAAAGGGCACAACTCCGGACAATAAAAGAGAACTAAAGGAACCCGGAACATTCACCACAAACGTACGCGACATACAAAAAAACAGAAGAACGTCCCCAAACTGTCAGGTGTCGCAGCAGGTTACATTTCGGACAAAGGCGATCGGTAGAAGAGATCGATACACAGACCCCAACGCTCCAACTCGAGATGGGTGCCTGCCAGAATCGAAATACCAGAGTACCGCTAACCGTAGCCCCCGTTCCGCCCTTTCCAATTACTGTGGTCCCTCTCGGCTACCAAGTTAAACACTCGCCTTCATTGCATCGTGCGCGGGTACGGGCTTCATCACGCCCTTGGCAACGCCTCGAAGGTTGTCAGCTAGCCGTTGCTTGACGGCGGTCACCTCCGCTAGCCGTTGTTTCTCGTACAAACTGAGTTTTCGTAGAATGTTTTCACCGTTGGAGAGGGAAACAAGGTCAAGTGGCGGGGGACGAGAAGAGGAGGAAGAGAGAGGAACGAGAATAACGGATTCATCTCATCCGCGCGATTATTGACCTCGAAATGATGGCGGTCCGCAACGCTCCAAATTTCAGATTTGCGGGCTTGTCCGGAAGTATCAATCGCCATCTTCAGCGCCAACCCCATTCCGCTTTCTTCCTCTTGGCGCACGGTGCCCAGATTGCCTCGAAAGAAACAGAGCACCACGTTTTGCAAACTCGAACAAACTCCTCAAAAACACACACAAGAACGTCTTAAAAAGCGGTGTTGCTGTTCCCCACTCTCACCTAGAGTTGATGCTGGATCGTAGCTCCTCCCCTCGTCGAGCAGTTTCGTCGGCCCTGGCCGCCTGCTCCTGCAGGCTGCTCGACAGCGCGCCCACCTCGTTCCGCCTGTCCTCGGCGGCTCGCGTATACCGGAGGGTTTCTTCCGCCGAGGCATTGAGTTGCCTCTGGAGTGACACCACCTGTATTCGTCAGGTGTTTATTTGGGGGGGGGGGGGGGTGTACTCATAGCCATGCATGCCGTAGTCGTTAGACCATTGATCTCGCATCCCTACAAAGCCGGGACGGCGGCGGCGGGGGGGAATCCGTGGTGGAGAAGAAAAAGTGATTCCACGATTACTAGGAAACGCGGAGAGGGAGGGGCGAAAAGAAGGAAAGGGAAAAATATCAATCGGTTGTGTGAGGGGCCCTTTTGCGGGCGGAGATAATCTCCGGCGGTGGTAAAACCGATATCAACGTAAACCCTATACACCAGTGCCGCGGAGCGGAGAGAAAGCGGAGAAGTAGAAGTCGGTCTCTTCCGCACTTTGGTGCCGACTCGCATGGAAATCCTGTAGAGGGAGGTTTGGTAGGAACGTGCTGGGCGCACGAACATATGGCACAAAGTCGCACGCACACACAAACCAAAACAAGTACGCGAGGAACCAAGCACACACCGACAGCGCCCCCAATACACAGCCAACTGTTTCTAGCTGTCGAGTCATTAGACGAGCGTACCTTCTTCTTGAGCGCCGTTGTGGTCAAGTCGCCGAGCCCGCTACCCGCCGCCCCGTTCCCAGATGCTAGCATGCCTCGCCGGGCCTTGGTACTTCTGCCGGCCGCGGCCTCGCTCTTTCCCTTGTGCCTCACGGCGATCTGCTCACGTTTGGCGATGGCTCTTTCCATCTCCTGGATCATGCGCTCCTTGATTGTTTAGGAGGTATTGAAGGCAAAGGTAGGGGGGTCGTGGTACGATGGTGGGCATTTTCGTTCGGCATGCAAACATTCAGTACTCCACTCTTTGGCACCCGTTTACCCCAAGAACCTCAACAACGCATTAACGCATGAGACCATCACGCGATAAGCTAGAGGTCTCGCCTAGAACAACCTCAACGGCTGTTTCGATATAGAACGGCGGACGCACAGGGAGTCTTGTTTTGCTACCTGAAAACATTGCGCTACAACCCACAAATTGGTCACACTCCCGCGACCTTTCCTCACCCCCGCGAAAACATTTCATGGCGCGTGAGATCACAAAAATCAACAAAGCTATGCATCAGACCTGCTCCCGCTTCAGCCCCTCTAATCGGATGCGCATGCGGTGGATCTCCCTCTCCATCGTGCGGACCTCACTCTTTCCTACTCCTGGGTCTAGGGCGGCCTTCGGCATAGTTTTTTCGAGCGAAATGGGAGCAAGGGTAACATATGGTGTTTTGTGACAACACATCGAGAAGGTGGCAAGGTTGAAGAGGCGGCGGCGAGGGGGGGGGGGGGGGGTGAGGGTGTACTAGCTGCGAAACACTGGTAGTGCGACTTATGCTGTGTTATTTCACAGCGTGTGCTGTACGATGCGTCTTCTAAGGGTTATATTTGCTACTCCTACGTTTCTGTCTGGTCGGTCAAAGAGTATGCGTGTGGTCTATTTCGTCGGCAATGATCCTCTAGAGAATATTCCCCGTTGGTGTCATGGTCGGACTTTATTGCAACCTATTTTTTTGCAGCGGGTATTGCGCGAAGTATATTTTCTGTCAAAGCCAAGACGTGTCGCCTTAATGGCGTACGTTGAAGATGGGGAATATGTGTTGGTGTTCTCACCTGGGTCTCCCTCTCGAGCTGTGTCTTCTTTTCCCATAGCATAACCTGTCTCTCCGCCTCCAGGATCTGCTCCAGTGTCTCGGCCTTGAGGTCCTTCACGCTCCGGATCCGGCCTTCTAGCGCGACGCTCTCGGCCTGACGCGAGGGTGTTTCACGTTCTTCATGTTGACATTCAAGCATCAACGGTTTCTTCCATTAAGGAGGACTTCGGACGTGCGAAAGACGCAGCACTTGTTGGCGTGGACGGTTGTTTTGTTCTAGCAAGCAACGCCTGGTGCCATCGGCGCGCTCAGTCAACGCCTTGCGCATTTTCCAGCTTTTGCAAGCTTGCGGTTTCCTCTGCTTAGCCCGCCCCCGCTCTCAAGTGGTAATCCTGGTTGGCTCTTGTTCAACTTGCAAATACTGTTTTCCTCATTCAGTGCTTCACGTCTTCAAAAGGGCATGAAATTGCACAAGTAGGTCTCGCCGGGCGTTGTTGGATTGCACCTGTAGGAATAACTACACGCACCCATCGGCACTACTTCCAAACCAACGGCAAGAGACGAACAAACGCAAAAGAACCCCGTCAAACTCCCCCCCTCACCTCCAAATCTCTAAGTTCTTGCACGAACTCCCTCTCCAAGGCTCTGGTGGCATCGTCGAGCTCGTGGGCCCGCCTGGTGGGTTTGGGTTTTGAGCGAACACGAGGGGGGATTCAGTTCAGCGGACCCCCTCACTGATACTCCTGTGTCTCGAAGATTCAGCGAGCACCCGATCCCGATCGACACAGCCTTGCACGTTCGCACTCGTGTTTCAGCTTTCGCTAACGAAAACGTTGTGACGGTTTTCCCCGTTTTTTTTTGCGTGAACACCCATCATAGATGTGAACCCTTTGAGTACTCGCCTTCCGCTCTTTCCGATAAGGTCGTTCAGTCTGCCCATGTCCATGTGCATCCCCTCGATGGCCGACCGCAGCCGTTTCGACTCTGCCAAGTCGCTAGTCATGGACTGCAACAGGCGGGCCTTGCGCTGTCCTACGATGGAGCAGCGCGCTCGCAACTCTCCGTTCTGGGAATTAACAATACGTACCCAAAGCAGCAACAACGATTGTTTTGATATATTCCAATACTGATATGATCACCAATCAGCCTATCAATTTTTGCGTGTCAAGCTCAACATCGAGAGAAAGAAGAAACGCATCGAATCAGCAATGAGATCTCAAATAAGCTCCAATGCCACCGAGCTGACTCCTGGTTAACAAATGAGCTGAGTGTTGAGCCCCCAGTTGTCCTGTTGCTGTTTTTCTGCGCGGTGTCCACTTTCTCTCTAGCCCAACACCCTCGTTGACACCAACAGTTTTACCTCCCTAACAAAAAATCTTGCGCAGCCACCCGTTATTCCAATGTAGTCGCGGCCCCTAGAAGAGTGCCTCCTTCTCCACCTCACATTCGATCATTGCCTGTTTGCGTCTCACCTTTTCCGCCAGTTGCTCCGTTTCCATGGCCGAAGACACAAGCTTAGTCTGGTCCGCCAGCCACTCGTGCTTCATGCGAGCGTTCTCTTCACCTAGCTTCAAGGCAGCAAAAGCCAAGGAGGGGGGGAGGGGGGCGTAAGAAAAGAACTGGGAAACTACGGTCGCAACCATAGGTTGTAGGCCCATAGCATCGGGACCAGCCGGGGAGGCCTCATACGTCCATAGCGAATGGTGTCCGTCCTGCAACCTAATCGGGACCAACCGGGGAAGCCTTTTTCGAAAATGTGGGGCGGCAAAAGTCCTATTGCAACGGTGATCCATACAAGGGAACACACGCCAGAGCAAATATACCACGTCACTCCTCATGTGCAAGTGTGTGGCCCATGGGCCCGCTCACCGCCGCTATCTCTTTTTGCAGGCTTTTCACGGACGACTCCAAAGGCCCCACGTTCTCCGGCTCCTCCACCGCCTCCCTCAGCTTCTCGTACTGCCGGTTCAACCGGTCTACGCTGTACATCTGATAGTGCGGCGTTTGCACGCCGCGGCAGAAGGTGGGTTTAGAACGACGGGCGTGAAGCGCTTGCAGGCAGACCGGGTGAAAGTTGAATACGATTTCGCCTTCGTGAGCGCAAGATGCGGAGGGAGAATATCAAGTCGGTGTCCTCTTCCTCGTTCTGTTTCACAGAGTCTCTACGGCCGGTCTTCCTGGAGGCTCGTTTCGTACCTAGAAAATCCGGGCACACGCGACTTGAACAAAATAACACCTCCGACTCCAGAGTGCCAACCCCTGAAACACGCTCGCTTCGTCCGGCTCCCCCCGAACCCCGTCAATGCCTCCCCACCTTTTTCTCGATCTCGTCGCCTCGCTGCCTGATCTCGGTCTGATACTTCTCGATGAGGCGGTCCTTGCTGTTCAGCTCCTCCTCGCTCCTCCTCAGAGTCTCCTTCAGCTGCAGGTTATGAGCCTCGGTATTGAGGGAGTCGACTCGAACCCGCGCTTCCTCGTTCTGGAGGTTGGCCTCCTCTGCCACGGCAAAGGTTGAACAAAGGTAATTTCGAATTTGGATTCAGCTGACTGTTGTTCGCGTACCTTTGTCCTTCGTTGGACGTGGGGTACCAGCAACATCCCAGCGGCTGGTCCAAGCCGAAAACAGCCTCTCGCAAGATAAGATTCGATCTTGCCGACCTCCAACCCTGAAAAAACACGGCCTGGTGGTTTCAGTACGTGTCTCACCCATTTCGATCTCATGGAGTTGCTCCACCACGGCGCGCGCCTGGCGAACCAGGTTCTTGACTGCCTTGTTCGTGGTGGACTGCTGCGACCTTCTCTTTGCCGCTTCTGCCTCTAACTTCTGTCTCTCCCTCGTAAGGGCTTGTGCTTGGTTGGAGAGCATGTCCACCTGGAAAGGTTTTTCGACGCGATTTGGCTTCGTGAGTGACAGTTCGATGCTTTGCACAAGTGGTCAGTTGTTCGTACGAGAGCGTCCCAGGGGCAACAACATTGTGAGGGGGGCTGACACACTTTGTCTAAAGGCACGTCGAACCGCTCACCTCACATACATGTGCATGGACGAACTGTTGTACCCTTCAACGAACCTGATATCAAGAATACAAGGAACTACAACGTTCTCGCGACGATGAAGAGTTTTAGCACACAGAGCCAACCCGAGTGAAACCTTCATAGGGGCGGCAACGACCGAATACATATTCGGCATGTGGGCATCCACAGGTGTGGAAGAATGTTCCCGCACTTCGATTGGTCCGCTCTAAGGAGCGTTTCACCCCGGCAGTGTCACACTTGCTCGCTCTGCGCTGGCTTTGCGCTCGGGTGCCCCAAAATACAAAGTGCAACACGAACATCTATCCACTTTGCTTTCACAGAGCGCTCTGACTGAATCCTTTCGCTGGCGTGGGCGGGCAATGACAAGGTTGAATCGTAACGTACCCCCAGAATATTATGGGTGGGCTGTACCGTGCCAAGCGTCTTTACCTGGCTCCTCAGCTGCGTTCCCATGGCATCGAGCTTTTCCTCGTCTTCCTCGGACTGTGCTAGGGACCTCTGCAGCATAGCGTAGCGTTCCGCCAAAGAATCTCGCTCCTCCTACGAATCGACCAACCAAGCAGAAAGGTTAAACGAAGAAAGGAAAATAACTTGTTGTTCCAAACGGAAATGTACACACATCTGATGGCAAGAACCTCTCCTTTGACACCTGGCCCGCTTCGAAAAGGAATGGTCTCTGACGTCAACCTACATTCCGGCACTTGCCTGGCTTCGGAAACACAGTTTCTCTGACATCAGCCTAGATGTCCATCTCCACCCCCCTCTCCCCCCGTCTCTGAGTGGAGCATGAGGCCACGGCCTTGCAGTCTTCCTGCTCACAGAACGGGAGTTCTCTGTGGAGCACGAAAGCTTGAGGAACATGTTTTGGTGGTAGACCCTTTTCATGGGTCCGGGCTCGAACCCCAACGCTACAACGGCGCGGGAAAAACAAACACTCGTATGTGAAGCGCTACAATAGGCACCGCACCTTCGTCTTGGCCAGCTGTTCTTCGACAAAGGCACGACCGCTCTCCAGGCGGTCTCTGACGGCGATCAGTCCCTCGTGTTCCTCCTGCGCCTTAAGCGTCTCTCTCTTCAACCCTTCTATCTCGATGTCGTAGTCTCTGGACGTCAGACAACCCCATACGAACGTACACATGTCACCGGGCGACCCAGGGTGAAAAAATGTATTTTTACTTAGGGGTACCAATCTCCAACGTTTTTCTCGAAACGCTGCTGTATCCACGAAGAGCATACCAGGTATGAATCATGCTTTTTTTTATTTCCCTTGTTGGTAAACCCGAAACAATCTTGTTTAACACAGGGGCTCAGACCTTCCCCACTCTTGACTATCTTTCTCTTTACCGGAACATCCAGAACCTTGTGAAGACTGTGCCCTTGTCCAGTGGTAGCAATGCGTCAGACTGGGGCTGTTGACTAAAGTGGGCACAGCCAGCGAACCTCAAGCACTGTCTACGGCTGGCTCGAGAGAAGCCAATCAACACAACCGCCGCATACCACGGGTGGGCGACTAACCTGGCGGCGGACTGAGCTTCCTTAAGAGCGTTCGACGCGGCGGTTAGAGCCTCGTCCCGTCGGGCCAGGCCTACCAACGCTCCCTTCCACTGCTGCAGCAGCTGCTTCTTCTCGAAGGCGATCAGGGACATCTCGTGCGCCGTCTCGCGGAGCATTCCATCGGCCTTCTCCCAGTGACGTCGTTCGGGGTTTGCCACCGTGTAGATAGTGCAAGAGAGACGGAGACAGCAGGCGGACACGACACCCGAACATGGAGGAGAAGCCAAGAAAGGGAAGGATTGAAGTAAACGTCTAACCACCTTCGTTGTGTGCGATACACGAAACGGAAAGTTAAGAGTTATTGTGGCGCGATTGACGAACATCCTCCGTTGTGCACCTGAGGGGTTTCCGATAGCACAATTTCTGTGGAGTGGGGTATTCCATGGCCGGGGGGCGATGCAGAGATTTATCCTGAAAGATCGTGAAATACGGCGTGTTTCGTTCATTGTCTGTCTCACCTCTCCCGTCTGCCCCTGAGACATGCCGATCTGAGCTTCGGCTACGGCGACCTGCCCTTGTAGGCGTTTCACCTGCAGCCATCACGTCGAATAATGCCAGTGAAACAATTTATCTTTTCCCCCGTCGGAAAACAGTGTATTTCGGAACCCACGCAGGGCATGATGCACACTAGGTACATGTTAGTCTGAACATAGACAAGTCAGTTTAGTGCAGCATGCTCCGATTTCACTTTGGTCGCGAAAGTTCCGCGCGTCCATTTCCCCGAATTCCGTTGAGGCGGTACGAGGTTCTAGGTTCAAGCTATGCAACACGTCCAACCCGAGGACGTTGTTTGTCTGGGACTTGACAATTTCTTGCCGCGGGAGGCCTATGCCAATTTGTAAGGCCCCGGCTAGCTCGTTGTTGCATTGACAAAGCATCATGCACCACATTGTGGCAGCTGGCTACTTGGCCAGATATCGGTCGGGCATTCGTGTTAAGCGCTGGACAAACGACGTAAGCTGCACACGGGTTGGCGGGTTCACGGTGCCCACCAGAGCACCTCAAGGAAATAGAGCACATTAATTCGCACCTGGTCCATGAGGCCATCGATCAAGAGGTCTTGTCGCCCCTTGTCCTTCTCTAAGTTCGAGACGGCCTCTTCCGCCTTGTACGTGGCTCGCCTTGTCACCAGGATCTCGTCCTTCATCTCTTCGTTGTACAGCTCAACCTGGTGTTTGTGTTGTAGGGGCAAACCGTTTACGATAAACACGGAAGAACTGCCGCGCCTTTTGCGCTTTCGGTCCACGACCCCCCACGACCCAAGTTTGTTTCTTTGCTTCGGCTCAACATAATCTGGGCTCCTCTCTGTCTGTAGTTAAATAGACTCAAGGTGGGGTTCATTCACGCGGCGCTATACTGGAAGTCTTGCCGGTGTATTCAATGCGGTAGTGGCCGACCGATAACTACATCAAGTGGGCGCTGGACTGCTTGCCTCGTGACAGCAAAGACTTCACTGACCACAAGCCCGTCGACTCTCAGCTAACAACCGCCAAACGAATTCCCCCCCGAACACACTTGCGCTGGGAGTACACTTACCTGTCGGAGGGTGTCCTGGAGAGAGTTCAACTCTGACTCGTTCTTAATTAGCCGTTTCGAGAGGGCGTCACCGACCCCCTTCAGCTCGAAGTAGCGCTGCTTCGCTGCGTCGGCATCCAGCTCGGCCCGTGCCCTACCCTCGCCGAGGCCGTTGAAGTCGGCGTGTGTTTGCTCCAGGGCCACCTGAAGCTTTGCCAACTGCTGCTGCATGGCGTAGAGCTCAACGCCCACGAACTCACGCCGCTTGCGGAGCCTGCGTGGCAATGTCGACAAGGCAGATACGTATAAATGCTTGGTTGGGGCGATTGGTTTGAAGGCGGCCTGTCTCGCCGCGAACTCTCTTCCCTCTTCTACAACTGGCGCCAATTTTTCACGGTCGCTAACAGGGCGGGTTTCAATGCTATCGAATTTTGATTGGGTCCGCTTTGCGGTTCGATGTTCATTCATAGATGACCTGATTTCGATTCACTGTGCGTGAGTGAAAAAAGCAACCCAATCCGTTGGAAACCGGAAGCATCAGCGTTTTCCGGCCAGTCGAACTGGGAACTGTTAGTCATTACGCTCTCGGAGTGTCATAGCCTTGGTTGCAAGCCACGTAATCATTTCTTCGATATCCGTCCTCCATGTACCCGGGACCTTGCCCAAAGGCATTCTCTCCGTATGATCGATTGCTCTATCTGCATGCTTGTATTGTCCTCTTCACATTATATTTGACTTCTTCGCCCTACTTCTTCAGTACTTCTTCATTGAGAGGGAGAGTTTCCTCTACCTACTTATTCAATTATGTATGCATGGTATCATAAAAAATGTGCACACACTTATAGTCTAGACTATGTGTGAGTCATGCACATGTTAAATTGTGTCCTTGAGAGTGGCGGCGTTAGCCGCCGGAACATCCTTTATGACAAACCCAGCCCACTCTCACTTCTTTACGTCAGCGTCCTTGTCTCGTAGCTCCTCGCTAACTCTCTCGTAAGTCTGCAACAGCTGGTTGTAGAGTGCCTCCTGTACGCGGTCCATCATGGGGTGCCGTCCGAACTCCCTAATCATCTCTTCGGGATCCTCGTATGCGTCCTCCTCCTCCTCTTCTTCGCGATTCCACCCCTGCTCCCCCTGTGCCCCTCCCTCGCCGTCCAACTGTTCCCCGAAACCACTCAGTTGCTGTTGCTGCGGTTCAGCAGCCATTTCAGTTGAGACACCGCCGTACATGGCGACATCGAGCCGATGCTCGTATTCATCTCCTCCTGCACCGGCAGTAGCATCGTCAGGCTGCTGCTGTTGTTGTTGTTGTTGCTGCTGCTGCTGCTGCTGCATTGTCTTGTCGTACCTAATATCATCAGAAGCCAACCTAACTCCGTTGGGGTCCATCTGTTCGTAACCTGCCGGGTCCTTGTCAAAAGCAGCCACCTCGTAGCCTCGGCTAGCATGGTCGCCCCCACCAGCGCCATTGCCATCCACCGAGAAAGCAGGTTCGGATTTTCTATCGTCCATCGTCTACAGAAAACAACGAAGCGGTTCGCACCCAAGTAGCTTCGAAGAGGGCGCGACGACAAGTTCTAGGGTGTAACATGGAAGGTCAAATCCTTCCGTGAAGTGTTTGAGGTACTGCGTATTGTAGCAGCGAAGCACCGACAGGCGACGGTGACGTTTTCGCCGAACCAACCACATGCCGGTTCGCGCGCACTACAGTTACAATAGTGGACACGCCTCGGCGGCCACTTGGCAACCCTCTGTTCCGGCCCGTTGGCCCCCCTCTGCTGTAGCTCGCGCGTCGCGGGCCGTTGCCACGCACGGCTGCACCACACCCTGTCTGCTGCTCTCTCCTCCTATCTACGGCACGAGCGAGATAGACAATGAAGTGGACAAATATCCTTCCCTGTGTTGTGGGCCTTTGCCCCGCCTCTGCATTCGTTGCGCCAACCTTAATCGTCAAGCAAGGGACGAGCCGAGTGAGAGCCTCAGGAGCTTGTGTCGGTCGACAACATGATCCCTCTTCGGTAAGAGAGCGCTTACGGCAGCAGAGCAGAAGTAGCGCCAGCACCTCTGCCCGTCGACGAGCAGACACATGCATACATGGTGCTGCTAGTCTAACCCGATAGACTGCGTCGGCTGTTGACAGAGAGAGAGAATAGTCTAGCTACACACGTGAGTTTCAACCCCAACATTCAGACAGTCAGCGCAAAGCTGATCCGCATGACGCATCGACTTGCGTCCCACTCGGCAATACTACCCTGTGGCTGCCTCGCATCAGCCGTTTGAGCATCCTGATCAAAGCAGCAATGTGTAAGGACTGGCTCGTTCCGGGTTTGCTTCATCTCGGGTTTGCGTCGTCTTCAATTTGTTCGTGAAGCTCTACATGGACATCGACACGTGTTGCATGTTCAACTGGCCCGCATAAATCTGTTGTATTTTGCACGGTAATTTCTCCAACGGCCGGCACACTTCTACAGCATAGATCCAGCAATTTAATTAGGTGCAGACGCGTTTTGTGTGCGTATGGGTGTATACAATACCTGGGCTCGTTTTCAGGTGTGCTACTTGGCAGAGTGTCGAAAGCTGGTCTAGGGGAGAACTGGGGGTAGAAGCAATTTTCCGCGGATCCAAAGGGAGGGCATTGGAGGACAGATACGATATGCACATTAAAATATGTACAATATGTAGTACAGTCGAGGTCCCTCTATAGTGCGGGTATGTGCCAGGCGATTCTACCCGCACTATAGCGGGCACCCGCACTATATAAATAAGCGCCTAAATAGTGCGCATACCCGCACTATT